TGTACAAATATGCCTGATGTATGGATTGTGATAAGCATTGTAAGAGCTCTTAATAAAACGATTTTTTAAAAGAGAGAGAGAGAGAGAGAGATGAAAACAAACAAGTCTGAAAATAAAAATGCACTGGGTGAGATTACTGGCAGGTTAGTTAATGTAGGAGAAAGACATAACCAACTTGAAGGTACAGTACGTTACAGGAACTTCCCAAAATGAAACACAAAGAGAAGAATTAACAGACTGTCCGTGAGCTGTGCAACAACTTTAAACAACCTCAGCTCCGCGTATTTAAAATCCTACAGAACAGGAGAGAAGACCAAATGGAAAAGATATCCAAAGAAATAAAAGCCAATAACTCACTAGCTTGGGGGGAAACAAAACAAAATAAACCTCAAACAAGAGAAATATGAAGAAAACTACAGAAAGGCTTATATAATCAAATTGCTCAAACCAAAAAAGATTCTCAAAAGCAGCCAGAGGGAAAAAGACATTCTGTAGAGAAAGGCAAAGAAAGCTATGGGTGACATCAGATTCCTCACTGGGATCCATACAAGTGAGAACAATGAAATGACACCATGGAAAGACAGAAACTGTCAACGAAGAATTATAAACAATGAAAAAATATCAATCAAAGAGAAAATGAAATAAAAACATTTTCAGACATACAAAAGCTGAAAGAATTCATCACCAAAAGACCCTCTCCGACAAGGAACGTCAAAACAAGTTGTTTCCCTAAAAATGCAGTACAAGGGGGAGAAAGATTACCAAAAAATGGTAACTACAAGGGTAACTACCTAAGATTCTTTTTTACATTTAAAACTCTTTTGAAAAATGTGACTCTTCACAACTATCCTAATGCTGCTTTTAGAGTTCCCACTTGACTCCCCAGTGTGATGAGTTGTGTCTAGAATCTGCTTGTGAGCAGCCATCAAAGGAGGAAGTCTGAGCATCAGAAAGAGAAAGAAGACTTCAGGCCTAGTTTCCTCCAAGAGCCACCTTTACCATTTTTGTCATGAAGCCAGAAGAAGCGGATGGTGCCTGGCTGTCAATCTGAAAGTTTTGTTCCAAAAAATAATAGATGGATCCTGATCCAAAGGAGAAATTAGATGAAACAGAACTCAAAATTTCTATAAAAACCAGACTTACTAAAGCCATTCAGAGTGAGGAACCCTGAATCTATTACCTCGAGATAATCTTAAACCCCAAATCAAAACTACTACTTGATGCTATCTTTAAATAACAACTGTTTCGTGCAACCAGTAAAGAATATTTGCTATAAGCATCAAGTCCTTTCAATGAACTATTTATAGGAGATTAAAAGGGCAAAAGCAGCTCTGAAGCACAGGTGGAAAGTTTAGGGAGCAGTGAGTCAGAGTTACTGGTGGAAACATGATACCAGTCAAGATGGTGAGGGTGACACAAAATGAAGACTGTAACCAGTGTCCCTGAACTGTAACAACTACTGAAAGGGTGTGTGCTTTGTATATGTTTACACACACACACAGTTTAAAATGATAACAGTGTATTCAAAGTTTATAACATACATACAAGTTTAAAAAATGTCAACAATAGCATAAATGCCAGGATAGGGAAACCGAAACAGTGGAAGGTTGTTTTTCACTCTACATAGTGATCAACCAGAAAGCAGAATGTGAGAAGTTAAACGATAATACTATAAACCTTGAACCAATCACTTAAAAAAAAGTTGAAGTTAACAAGCCAACCAAGATGATAAGATGGAGCCATAAAAAGAAAAGGGGGCGAACAAATCAAATACAAACAGCAGAAGAGCAATTCAAACCTAACTACAGTAAATGTTTTATTAAATATAAATGGCTTAAATAAGGCAATTAAAAGGTACACGTTTTCATATTAGATAACAGAAGTCACACCTACATACTGCCTAAAAGAAACATGTAATTAAAAAGATACAAATAGGTAAAACATAAGAAGACAGGAAAAAAACATCTTGCTAACATTAGTCCAAAGAAAGCTCAAGTGGCTGTACTGACATTATCGAGTACAGTGGATCTCAGAGTAATGAGCCTTACAAGGGAAAAGGAACACCTTCCACAAAAATAAATGGGGTGAAACCCTATATAAAACATCAGCCAGTCTTATGCCATCCTCACAAGAAGATATAGCTATCCTAAGTAGTTAATATGATCTAATAATACAACTTTAAGATTCATAAAGCAAAACTGACAAGGAAAAAAAAGAGAAGAAAAATATCAGCTATATTTGGAGATAATACTTTTTTTCAAGAACTTAAGACCAAAACTTGTGAAACTACTACTGCGTCCATCCCACTGACGAATAAAGGCATCGAGGTAAAGCCCCACAATGGAGGACCACTCAGCAAGAAAAGCAAAACAACTAAGAGATGACTCGAAAACACACCGTGCTAAGTAGAAAACGTCCAACACAAAAAGCTAAATAGTTTACAAATCCATTTATTTAATATTTTAGAGGACAGAGACAGAAATCAGAGCGGCTGCTGCCAGGGCTAGGTGATTGTTAGAAAAAGAAACTGACCGCAAAGGGGCTTGAGGAAGCTTTTTGAGATGGTGCAGATGTTCTAGATCTCGACTATGATGGTAGTTATACTCCATGTATTTGTCAAAATTCATGAAACAATACAGTGAGAGAAGGAAGCTGAGTGCATGTAAACTATACCTCAACTAACATGACTTAAAAAAAATGCAGTGGGCCATTTCTTCTTATTTATAATTCCAGCAGATAAGAGGTCAAGATTTACATATAAAATAAACCCATTAGCTTCATAGTACATTAATGCTTAATACACTGCAAAAATACTTTGGGTCAGCAAAAATGTTTAACAAAATAGAATTTTTTTGTCTTCAGTTTAAATGATTGCTACCTAAAGCATTCTGAATGCTAAACTTTAATTCCTTTAAAAGAGATGAGGGAATACCAATCCTAAATGGTAAGGTTTAATAACTAACTTGGGGGACCCTCAGGAATTCTAGGCAAATCTTTTGGAGCAAGAGCCTACAGCTATTATATCAGATTCTCTCCCACAGAGTTCAATTACCCAAGAAAAAGTTAATAATCAGACTGTCAAAAGAACTTGGTATTTGTACAAAGCAAAGCAACTCACCATTGCGATTTGGCTCCGGTTGCTCCTTCTCCTGATGCTGATTTTGAGGCTGCCCTAGGCTGACAGGTGGATGATGCCCAAGGCCATAAGGTACAGGTGACCCTCGTCCATGTGTCTGTAATAGGTTCATATTATAGGCCATGGCTGCCTGGTGTGTAATGATTCGAGGATCAACTGCAAACCTACCCTGGTATCCTGTCCATGGTACCTAGGTTATTAAAAACAGAGATATAATACATACATTTTAGAGGACAAAGTACTCTCAAAGCAAACAAACACAAAGATGTAAATTTTATCAAAATAATTTAACTACAAAGTTGACCCTACCAGGATTACTATGTTAGCTTTACTATACTAAAATGGCTCCCGAATCACTTGACTTTAGAGAATATGGAAAATGCAACCATTGGTGAAGTTAGAATGAACTTAAAGACTTAAGATGGGTAATTATGCCTGAGACATTAATCCATGTTACGGTCTTGGATCATTTCCCCTCAAGATGAAAGTATAGATATCATGGGTTAGCCCATAAAATACATTTTTAAGACATAACTATGTAAATTTACTAGAACAAAAAGAGAATAGAAAATTTTAAGCAATACTTTAAGAAGTATTTTTTCTCTCAGAAAAGAGGCATACTGACTTTACAAGGGGGGGGGATTAATATTCACTTTTATAGTGGGTGAAATTCTAACAGGTGATCGTGTTAATCCAGGTTTGTGTTAATCCAACTCGATTTTACACCACAGAAACAGAAAGCATGCCCAAGGGTGCGTGGCTAGCTAATCTCTGCAATTAACACAAATGAACAAATATGGTCTACGAGCTGCTGGAACTGTTGGATGCAACCTCTTAGAAATTCTACATAATGAAAGCCTGGTTCGGACTGATACAAGGGCTCAAGTAGAAAGAAAAGGGTTTGAAAATGATCATGGCAACATATGTACAAATGTGTTTGATATGATGGATTGTTATAAGGGCTGTTAAGAGCCCCTAATAAAATGATTTATTTTAAAAAAAGGAAGAAAGAAAAGCCTCTTGACCTAGTAAGTGAAATCCGTTCCCAAGGGCGTTACTATTTCTAGCAGATGATGCAGAGCATTACCCAGCTGTCTGGGAAGCAGTAACTCAGCTAAAGTCTATGCTAGAGTCCAAGGGGTGGGGCATTACACACTTCACCCTGGAAGTCATTCTCAGTGGCTGGTGTTGACTGTGAACCGTCATTACCAGCATGGCTAAGACATGCCTACAGTGAGGCTAATTCCCATTCTGAGGTATAAGCAGGGATGCCAAAGATCCTTGGCAATGGTTATTACTGCCTAAAATTAAAGTTGCCGCCCCAAAGGAAAGAAATATTTTCTAAGCAAAAATTCCTGAGTCTGGAATTGTTTTAGTAGATCAGCAAGCTAAAAAGATTATCAAGTACTTTTAATTGGTAAAGAAGGAGAACTAACAAAACATGGATATCTCTTTACTAGATGGCAGCCCCTAAAAGCTATACTCTTAAGGAAGGACGGATTGACTCGTGTTTTTAAGTAGCAGGAAGATTTCATACAGCATGGAATTTCTCAGATAAATTTAGATCCTTGAGAATTAGACTAATCCAAGCCTCTTTTGTCTCCTCCATTGGCCTGTATTTCTTAGGAAGGATTACTGATTTGTACCAGTACAAAAGACAAAAGCAAAACCAAAAATATCCCCTCATAAAACACAAGGGCAATCTTCTAGCAGTGTCAACGTTTAGCCCAACTTTCCCCTGTAAAGGCATTTTTAACAGAATAAAAAGTCTTCTAAAACCAAACCATCCAATTTACAGGTTTCTCCAGCAATGGTCTAATAAAATAAACTAAAAGCAACAATTCACAATTTTTGGTCAATTCAAAACATGAGAATATAGAGAAGAGTTGCTTTGAAACTGCCTGGACAATGAAAACTTTAAAAAAAAAAAGGGGGGGGGGGGCTGGTAGGACACAATTTGAGATGGTAGATAGCCACTCACTGCAGTTTAAAGTGAAGCCTAATTTACTTCAAACATCCACTTACAGGTAAAGGCACCGACATGACTACGTTCCCTCCATAGACAGCAGGTACATAAAGAATACTTGTCCCAGTGTGAGGGTCTATTCTTTGCACGGGGCTTGGCGATTTCCCCAGACTTGGGTGAGGTCCAAGAGGGGGTGGAGGAGTGTAAGCTCTAATAGGATTGCCAATAAGAACAGAAGGGTTTGGCTGGACTGAAAAACAAACAGAAAAGAGAGGCACTCAATCGCTGTACATTTTCAACTACATAAAGAGAACCTGAATTATCCAGCAGCAAATTATGTTCCCCAGGTTTGCCATAACATGCCTCATCAACAAAAAATGATCAGTGTGGCAGAGTAAAAACATAACAATCTTACAGTGTTCTTCTAAAATTAGCTTGGGATATACAAAAGGTGTTTGTTTTATTTGATGCGTTTATTATAAACTAGCATCACTGAAAAGCTGTCTGAGATGTGTTCCTCAGGAGAGAAACCGTGAACACACATCCACACACAGTGAATGATTTTCTGAATCAGGGAAAGCCTATACAATTCTTCAGAATGCAGCTTGTAACAGTGGTTGTAACACAGCAAAACGGTTAAATACATGCTCTTTTAGAAGCATAATTCTACAACATTGAAGATCTTGAAAATACACTCTCTTAAATTTTGTATGACATAACATCTATCGGGTACAAATGTTTCCTAACAATCTATGCTGAAAAGAGGCTTCGGTGTTTCTCCTCAAAACCTCTGGGTTTGCAGCAAAACCTATCAAATCACCCTTTTCAGAAATGATCTAGCAAAACATTCACAAGAACAGGCATGGTGGGCACAATTAATCAAGTGAAGTTGAAGGTGTCTGTCTGTGTGTTTGTGACTCTCTCCCCAACCTCTTCTGCTCCTCTTTGTGGTTTGGGGCCACTTTCATAATCAAATTTTCATAGGGCTTATTTTTCCACTTACCAAGGCCATCATTCTGAAAGTGATCATTCTGAGTATGATGGAGGGCTTTTCCCTTTAAAGAAAAAAACAGAAACAAAAACGTTCATATGTGTATTTATAGACTTCAGCATGTTTAATCCTAGAGAACAATAACTATTTCCCTAATCATGTGTAAAATTAATGTACACAACAACAATTAAGCATTTGAGACTGTGACTAGACTACTTTGAGTCCCTTTCTTTTTAAACATTAAGTCTTGCTCAACTCAAGTTACAAATCACATGAGCCTCAAGAGTTTCTCAATTTCATGTTGAGGCTATTTAAAATTTCTTTTTTTTTTAAATGAATTTTCTTGATAAAAGAAAACACATGATCAATATGATTCAAACCTAAATTCTATTCCTTTACAAGTTCATCATAAAGTTTTCTAAAATTCATAAACAATTTAAAGTTTTTCCAGGGTCTTTAATTCTCAAGAATGACAACTTTAACAACACCACAAATACAATGTGATTTGGGATTTTCAACAGCTAGACAATGATTCATTTTATCTTAGAGTATAAATTCAGTGAAGAACAGAAAAAGAGATACAGCCATCATCAACCTGAGAGAATGTAAATATTTTCTAGAAAGAAATTTGGCTTTAAAATGTTGGTTTTAAAATATTAACAATGTCAAGAAATACACAAATATTTTAATAAATCATCATGGATTTAGTGGAATAATCATGGGTTTGGACACAATTCTATTACAGGTTGGATACTCATCATAACATTAACAATGGAAAGCTTACAAATAAACAACAGAAGATAGCGATTGACTGTGCTAGTCGAATCAGTTCCAATTCATAGCACCCTAGGTACCACAGGATAAAAACAAGCCTGGTCCTGCGCCATTGTCACCATTGTTACTATGCCTGGACCCACTGTTGCAGGCACACTGTCAATATAGCTCTTAGAGAGTTTCTTTGTTGCTGCTGCCGGGTGCCCTGGAATTGGTTCTGACCCCCAGCAATCCGACGTGGAACAGAACCAACACTGCCCGGGCTTGCCCCAACCTCCCAAATGCTGTTCTAGCGGAGCCCCTAGTGAGGGGCTTCCTCTGTGTCACCGCCCCTCTACTTTACTAAACATACTGTCCTTCTCCTGGGACAGGTCCCTCTAAACACCAAGTCCAAAGTATGGAGACAGAGCCTCACCATCCTTACTTCTAACAAGAGATGGACTCTTTGGAAAGGGTTGGCATTTAACCCAGGACAGAATTCAGAAGGGTTAAGAAAGAGGAATCGAAACAGGTAACACCGGGAGGAATAGGATAAGTGATGTTATATTGAGGGTCTCACAATTAATGAGATTATATAAAATGCGTATTAATTGTTGAATGTTGAACTGCCCTGTGAACCTTCACCCAATTTACAAAAAGTTAAACAGAAAGTCAAGCACAAAAGTACACATGCATATGATTCCATTTACATAAAGTTCAAAACGAGGTACAGCCCTATAAGTAGCAGTTCCCCTGTACTAGACGGGGAAGAGTCGATGTGGTCATGACAGGGTCATGGAAGACTTTGGGAGAAGTGACAATGCTCCCTTTCTCGACCTAAGTGCTTGTTTACACAGACCTTTTACTTCACGAAGACCTAGCAAGCTGCAAACATCTAGCCAGCAATGACAATAGGAAGGTTACATTTTATATACAAATTTAGCATTAAAAAAATGGTAAAATTTGTATATAGAGAGCTTCAAAAAATTGTGGAAAAACTTCAATTAAAAAATAATAGGATTCCATTTTTCCATGAACCTTTTGAAGGTGCCCCCCAATATATTTATTGACATATAAAGATATCTAGGACATATTTTTTCTGGTGAAAATAAGGTATAAAAATTATGTGTATAACCAGCCCCACCAGGGGAATGAACAACTGAAATCATGGAGGAAGGGAGACAGGTGTGTAAGACATGAAAATAATAATAATTTATAATTTATCAAGGGATCATGAGGGTAGGGGAGGGGAGGGAAAAAGAGGAGCTGATACCACGAGCTCAAATAGCAAGTAAATGTTTAGAAAATAATGATGGCAACATAAGTACAAATATGTTTGATACAATTGATGTTATGGGTTGTTATAAAAGCTATAAGAGCCCCCAATAACATAATCTTTTAATTAAAAAAATTATGTGTAATATGAGTATATATATGAGGGAGTACCCCTCCAAAACCAGAGTTTTTTCAAAGCTATGTACTTACATTTTCTAAAAATAAAATAACTGTATCACTATCAAAGTACTCCCCATTACACTTAATACATTTGTCAAATCTGTGATTCCATTCTTGGAAACATTTTCCAAACTCATCGGTTTGGATGGCAGACAGCACCTCCTTTGTTTTCTTCTTCACCTTTTCTACTCAAATCACTGTTCTTTCATGTTCCTCTTCATTCGCAGAGACAAAAAGAAGTTGCACGGACCAAAGTCAGGTGAATAAGGTGCCTGGGGCAAGAGAGGCGTGCTGGTTTTTATGCCCCAAACTGATGGTTTTTATGCCCCAAACTGATGCACTGAGATGGCTGCTATAAGCAGGTATACTGTCATGGTGACAAAACCAGTCCCCAGTCTGGCACAAATCAGGCTTTTTTTTCCCTGTCAAACCATTTTGCATTCTTCTCTAAATACAAAGCTTGATTAATAGCCTGAACTGGTGTAATGAACTCCAAATGCATTATAAGTCGACATTTTCCTCCATTCGGGAAGTTTACAGACTCATGGACATCCAGAATGAAGTTTGTCATCAACTGACATTTTCACCTTTTATGAAATGAGAAAACCACTCTTAATGCCTGTGGTTTTTCTCATAATGCTGTCCGTGTAAGGTGTCTTCAACATCACAACAGATTTGATGGCATTTTTCCCAGGCAGGAAACAAAATTTCACAGCCGCATGCTGTGTTCTTAAATCAGCCACCACAAAACACGAGGTTTGAGCGGAACTGCATTTATGAAAAACACCCACTGTGACCAGAGAGAACCTTCCCAGGCCACTGGGTGCACTAACTCGGAGCGAGTTGCTCGATGCTTTCCTTGTAGGAAAAAATGCGTACTACAATAGCTCCTCTCAGTAGAGCTTTTTTCTGTTTTTTTGGGGGGTACCCCTTTGTGTGTGTATGATGTATTTATGTTTGTCTATTATTACTGGTAGGTTTTCTCCCCAAAATTTTACACCATTAATACATATTACATTTCCAATAAAGGGAAAAATATTTTATTGTAAATTCTTCATATTTAACTTCTTTTTGCACAAGAGCTTAGAGCAGGAGTCCTCAAACTACGGCAGTGGACATTTATCAAGCCTGCTGGGTGTTTTTGCCCCGTTTTGTTCTTTATTTCAAAAAAAGATATGTGCAGTGTGCATAGGAATTTGCTCATAGTTTTTTTTAAACTATAGTCCGGCCCTCCAATGAGTCTGAGGGACAGTGAACTGGCCCCCTGTTTAAAAAGTGTGAGGACCACTGGCTTAGAGAATGCCCACAAGTGCATTCCTACTGCTTCTCAGTTGCTAACTGCAGGGAAGATCAGAGTGATACATTACATTCGCCTTCTTAAAATTTACAGTGGAATACAAATAGATGACACCGATAATGGTGAGTACACAGTATATGAACGGCTCTTTATCTTACAAATAACAGCCACCTTATTAATGCAACATGATTCTACCAAAAAAACTCACTGTCATCGAGTCAATGCCAACCCATAAGGACCCTACAGGACAGGCTAAAATTAGAAAGACAATTCTCCCTGGGAGGAAGTCCATGGACAAAGACTGACTCTAGACATGGGCAGAGCTCAGTGTGAACACAGCTTCACCATTTCCTGGCTGTGCAACCTCGGGCAAGTCAAGTCACCTCCTCTCCCGGAGGCTAAGTGCCTCCCTTTTACACTGAGCACCCAGCCCTGCAAGGCTGCTTTCCAGACTGAGAGGGGAGAGTCAAGGGTTACCACAGAGCCAATCACTTAAAACAACAACAACAGCCACAACAAAAAAGGCTCAAGACCCTGAACCCAACTGACACTTGATTCTGACTCATGGTGACTCTAGGCCTGGGTGGAACTGACCCCTTTGGCTCCCTGTACATTTGTGCAGGAGCAGAAAGCCTCACCTTCCTCCTGTGGGAGGTTCCAACTGTTGACCTTGCATCTAGCAGTCCAACTCAGCCCATGAGGCCCCCGAGCAGTATTTATGAAGTCTAGAAGCACGTCAAAATCCATACATGCGATAGCTACGTACAGAATCCACCTAAAAACTACTCATGAAACTGGAATACACTGCAGGACTCGGCGGCCTGAGAGGTGCACACCTGTCCCCTACCACACTCAGGTATCGATGAGCGAGTACCGGCTGCCAGGAGGAACAGCTCCGTGGATGGTGAGATGGACAAAGTAACACAAAAGAGTTTTTAAAAGGCTGCCCAATCCCCCACAAAATGATAATTTAGCAGCTAATCGTATTTTCAGGTTGCAGAGCTCATGATAAACTTAAAATGCCCAGTGTGATTAAATATACATATTCCATTATGCAGTGAGAACAAGATAATTCGGTGAGGAAATCACATTTTGTATTTCCATTTTTAAAAGTAACTTTAGAAATCTGGAAGCAAAATATAAAAACTGCATTGTGCCTACGCTCTTGAGTTCCTTCTTTTTCCTATCCTCCCAAGATATCTGATGCTCCTGGACTTGGAAAACATTTCTTTTTCTGTCCACTGGCTACGTGTAACCCACCCTGAGCGAAGCAGCAGCACACGTCGCAACTCCCCCTCAGACACACAAGTGTATGGGTCATGTCAGCTAAAGCTGGAGCCCACAGAGGGGTGAATGTCCAAGGCAGGAAGAAAAGCTCATCTTAACCAATGCAAAATAGCTACTTCATCCGCTCGCAACTGCCCATATTCGGATCCGGACTGAACACCGGAGGACTGAGGTTAGCTGGGTAAGGGTGAGTAAGAGCAGTTAAGAACAACTGCTCTTGAGAAGAGAAACAACAGGCAAAAAGAATCACTACTGGACACTTCTGAGGCACATAAAGGTAAGGCACACTGGCAGGAGAAAGGAGAAAAAGTCAAAGAGAAGAACGGCCTAAGTCAGTGAGAACAGAGTGAGCAATTACAAGTGACAAGAGCAGCCTGCGGCAGATACACCGACAGACAGTCAGATGTCTCCACCTCCAAACGTATCACAGTCACCTGCTAACCACCCACCAACCAAGGCGGTTCTTAACCGAGTGGAGAGAGCACAGCGATTGACTCACAAAGAGTCGGGGAGGCAGAATGCCCCGCCCCCACCGCTCCCCAATGCTCATGACCTCATCTCAGAAACCAACAAAACACAGAAAAACATTGCTATCAAGTAGATTCCATGTCAGCAACCTGACCTCTACCCTGTGACCCTGCTCCATTCTGTGACAAAAGTGACTGCAGATGGAAGTGCAGGCGTGGATCTTAGTAGACCCAGTAAATCTAGAGAGCAGAGGGGTTTCCCTGGCGAGACTCAGAGGATGTGGGGGGAGAGTGAAGAGATTCTTTGAAAGGGAAAGTCAAGAGACTCCATGCAGAGCTGATGCGAACTGAGCTATGAGGACTGGAGCGAGTCCTCCAGGAACTGAGGGTGATGCCCACATGCCAACCAACAAAGAACCGGTAACTTTGGACCTACCACCAGAAGGCACTAGATCCGGCCAAGAAAGTGCACGAGTGCAGAAGGAGATTCTTTCCAGAGTCTCCAGGTTAAGTCGGCTACCACCTTGACCTCACCTTTGTGAAACAGAGCAAAAAAACCCAGCCAATCTAACAACTGCTCAAACCAAACTCACTGCCACACATTAGATACTGACTCTTGAAGAACCAACAGACAGAACAGAACCGCCTCTGTGCGTCTCCAAGACTAAGTATTTACAGGAGTAGAACGCCTCATCTTTCTCCCAAGGAGTGGCTCTTGGTTTTGAACTGCTTAACTTGCAGTGAGCAGTCCAACACTTAACCCACTGCACCACCAAGACTTCTTTCTGATCTATAGAACTGTGCTAGAATAATTTGTATTGTTGTAAGCCACTGGGTTTGCGTTAATTTTTCTTGTAGCAGCAATGGGAAAATACAGGAAGTAACCGAGTTGAGGGCAACCTTACACAATAATGTTAGAAGTATGCCTAACAGCATGTGTTAGCAGTTAAGAGTGCTATGTGCTTGGGGTCTATCCTTTCAAAAGGTAGTGTCATGCCTACAAGATGTAACCAGCACTTGATACAGTTCGAACCTGGATGCCATCCATACTTTAGCATATGTTGACTTAGCATATATTTTGACCTATACAAAATACACAGTGTTTGGGAGTCTAAACCACAGAGCAGTAAAGCAGGGCTCAAAGAGCTGGCAGTGCTATGAGATACATACTGGTCTGCTAAGGGAAAGGTCGCCGGTTCACGCTCACCACCAGCCACTCTGCTCCTGTAAAGATCTGCAATCTCGAAAACCATACATAAGGTCATTACAAGTCTGAACTGACTTGATGACCGTGGGTTTGGTTTTGGTTTTTAAACTAGAGCTAACTCTATACAAAGGGAATCCCCTAAAAATAACTCCAAAATTTTACCAACGGATCTCAGAACTTAGGCAGAATGTTCTTTAAGGGAAAGACTTTTATACTTCAGGATATCAATTTTTTTGAGGACTCTATTACACCATTTATTCATTCAGATAATGTCTTCATTCATGCATGCATTCCCTCAAAGAATATGTCTTCTGAGGGTCCTCATTTGGCTCTGAGACGACCAGGTGAACAGACTAACCCCGCAGTGTTGCCTGAAGACTAGCAAGCCAGACTCCGGCAGCAGCAGGCAAACAGAAGTGCTAAGAAGCAATTGACCACGGAAGTCTATAAACGATGTCCTGTTCTTTTCAGAGCACTCACTTCTGACTAGTATTGATCCTCGGAATCGTTCTCACAGTGTGAGTACAGGAAGACAAAGCTTCCAAAGATGGTACGGTTTCACCCCGTCCCTGCCAGCAGAATCAGGACCACTCATTCTGAGGACGGGTAGAGAGAGTGAGGTGATAAGGGGTCGTCAGCATAGACAGTCTGCTCCTGAGTCCCCTCGAATATGGTTATCTCCCTTTATCTAATACCTAATCTCTTAGAATGCAGATCACTACAGCAGCATTTCACAATAGGTTCTTTTTTATTTAATGAAGAATATAAACTGTATTAACCCAAAAGTTTTCTTCTTAGTCCAATACCTATTCAGCTTAAAAAAAAAAGTTAAATATGAAACCACTGGCTAGTTCACCCACATTAGGCTTTACATTTAAAAATGAAGCTCCACCAAGGGCTCAAGTAGAAAGAAAATGTTGAGAATGATGATGGCAACATATGTACAAATGTGCTGGACACAATGGATGGACGGATGGATGGACTGTGATAAGAGCTATACGAGCCCCCAATAAAATGATTTTTCTAACAAAAAATGAAGCTCCACATAATACCTTGCTGACAACTAAATACACTAAAAAACTACGAATAAATACTAATGCCTTTGTCATTCTTTCTTTTCTAGGTAAGTGTAAGCACTTTTTCAGGCACATGAGCAAATATGCCAGCTGTCTCTGTCCAAAATAACTCTGGTTTAAAAGTAGGCATGGCCTGGGTCTCCTCCTCTGCCTCGTCTGGTCTTACAAAAAATATAGGTCAAAATCAAATTAAAATAATCTTCAAGACAATGATATTTTCTCACTGTCAAATACCATTTGAAAGGAATTGGCATTGTACACTCATTATAAATCATTAGAATTATTTTCTTAATAGCAATATTTTTATTATAAGAAGATTCCTTATGAATAATATGCTGTAAGAGCATGCTTTTATTGAGTGTGACAGTCTTTAAAATGGTTTTGTGTTCTTCACATCTTGCCCAAACCATTCTATTAGAGAGGACTGGGGTGCTATACTGTACTGTAGAAACCCACAATTGACCCCAATGCAACCATGATGTAGTAGTCAATGTAGATGTAGCCATGTAGTCAATGTAGATGCAACCATACTGTATTAATTAGCCTGAGTGTAGCCATTTTGTATTGATCGAAGTATGGCCATTTTGCAACTACTGCAAATTCCTCTTTTAACTGCTGTTTTCTGTAACTGCTGAGCCATTGCCATTTATTCTTGAAATTGCTGACGATGAGTCTAAACCCCCTGCTGTTTCTGAAAGGTCCACAGTTCCCAATACCATACCACCACCTGCCTTTGTATCTAAGGTCCCCTTTTCTCCATACAGTGTGACGCCACCTGCCCGATGCCTTGTTTACTCCATAGTCCAAAAACCTCCCACTTTAAGCAACCGGGGTCTTAGAAGAATTAGGCTCTAGCCACCCCATGACAGCCGGCTAAGAAAGGCTTACTAACTTGAATTAGCGTGGCCTGTGGGTTAATTGATCTTGTCCTGGCACAACAAAACAAAGTACACTAGAGAAATTCAGGTATTCACAAACTTTTTGAGAGTGATTACTACAATTAAATATGGCGAAACACTATGTTGCAGGAGGAAGATGAGGCTGTCTGCTCTGGGGAAGATGTACAGTCTCAGAAATCCTGTGGAGCGGTCCAACTCTTGTCCTGAAGGCTCACTAAGAGCTGGACTTAACTTGATGTCAATGGGGTTTGTTTTGTTTTGTTTGGAGAACATGATGCAGAAGCCCTGGTGGTACAGGGGTTCAGCACTTGATTGCAAACTGAAAAGTTGCTGGTTTGAAAACCTACCAGCTGCTCTGCAGGAGGAAGATACAGCAGCTCCTTTGAAGATTAGAACCTTGGGGGGCTTTTCTACTGTTCCATAGGGTTGCTATGATTAGATTAAACTCAACAGTAATGGGTTTGGTTTGGGGTTTAAACACTATGTATTGTCACTTATGTGCCTAAATACAAACATGTTCCTTGCAGAAATTGTGCTTCCCCCAAGTCTTTCAATTCCAATACTTAAAGAAATTTGCAACTCAATAAACCTTTGGCCCATCTGCCCTGTCTTCAATTTCTCTAGCAGAGGGTTTACCTTGGGTGGTGACTGCTGTTGTTTGCTGGTGTTTCCTGAATGCTGCAGCCTCAGAGCCCGGGGGATAAATTCAGGGGCCAGTGGATTCAACACATACGTCTTCTTTAGTTCTAAAGCCTCTAATTGAGCCTTGATCTGTTCAAAAGTGATTCCATGTAGGCTATTATTTTCATGGCACAAGGCAATAAACCGCTCCCAAAATTTCCTACAGAAAAGATTTCAAAGATCAGTTTACAAGTTCGGTAAATGAGATTACAGAAATGAACATCAGCAACTAAAAGTGATGTTGACTATTCTCCCCACCATTCCCCCTGCCCCAACTCCTTAAATCCGATAATCATCTTGCTATAATTTAGGTACAGTCTTCCTACCAGATCACAGGATCTTGGAAGCTTGAGTCTGAAGCTATAGGCGTTGCCTAGTATTGTTGTAGCACATACATAGAGCGCTCAACTGAGTACGGCTAATCAATGCAAATTAACAAGGTCAATCTCGAAATGCGTGCTAATCCACATTCATGTTTTTATAAGGATTTGAACTGATAATTTGTTTTAAGATTTCTATTTCTTGGAATATTCCAGGCACATGCATAGCTTGTATATACGGTTTTAAAAATTAATTGGACTATGGGGTCAAAGTAGCCTGTATCACCCTGAAAGGGGGCTGCATGACTAAGAAAAGCCAACTCAACATAAATCTGAGGCACAGAGCAGATAATCCTCAGAAAGATCAAGAGAAAACTAGATCCTCCAAGATGCTTTTCCAAATACAACTAATACAATTAATGGGCTAATTTTAAAGAGCCTTATGAATTATGGAAAATATAAGGAAAATAGAAGGCTAATTTTAATGTTGACCATTCATTTCCTAACCGAATGAGTAAGTACTAGAGAATAAAACAATCAAAACTTGTTTCGGTTTGTATACTGTTGTTCCTAAAGCTTTGAAAAATGATCTTCAAATATTATTAACTACACAGAGACAGTAGCTGGACTAATGGTTTCTTGGGGGTATGGCAGGAGAGACTGAGGGGAGAAGAGGAGCTAGTAGCAAGGAGTACAAGAAAGAAAATGTTCTAAAATTCATTGTGGTGATGACTGTAAAACTCTTTTTAAAATGAATGAACTGTTGAACTGTATGATGTGAATTAAATGCCAATAAAATGTAATACATAAATAAATAAAATACTAAATGCATATTACAAAACAACATAGAAAGAAGTTTTAAAATTTAAAGGACTATTATAAATATGCATACCTATGCTTAATATGAGGTTCAAATAATGTTTTAGTATGCTATAAGAGATATGTGATATGGTATCTTCCCAAGTTGGTATCCTTGTGTCCAGGTGGACAGTGGTAATCAAGGTGGCTTCAAGAAGCATAAATGAAAAGGTTTATATTATGTTAGTATATGACTGGGAATTGGATTAATATATTCATGAAAACTTCACAGATTGTACTTTCCAACTATATTTTTCTTTTACATATTTCTTCTACCATCTTTTCCAAATTTTCTTCAAGATGAGTTCAAGAAAAGGTCCAGGAAATATTTTTGTTTTTATTTCTTCCCAGAAAATGTTTTATCCTCTATGTTTACCACAGGAAATGTAAAAATGCGAGAAAATATGAACTATCGTATATACTCGAGTATAAGCCAACCCATAAATCAGCCGAGGCACTTATTTTTACCACAAGAAAATTCATTTTAAAATGTGCTGAAAAACTCGGCTTATACATGAGTATATACGGTATGTATTGCTGAACGCAAGACATATGGGTCTCCAGTCATCATAGGAAGTGTGTACAGACAGCTAACAAATGCACTGAAAAAGCTGTCTTTTATTTTTATGGTGAAGACCCCTTCAGAGGGAATCAAGTTTCTTCTCCTAGTCTGCCACTTGTGGAAGAATTACCTTTACTACATCATGTAGGATCTGAAATCCATACATTTTCCCACCGTTCTGCTAAAAATAACCACAGTATTCAACTGTAGAAATATCTGTGGACCCAATTCTATATGATGCAGTCAAAACGGAGAGTGGTTTTTGTCTGGTAGATTAAGTATTAATTTAAGTGATATTTCTTACTTATGTTGAACTTTATGACAAAGGAAAGCAACAATTAGAGAATGGGTTGGCTTTTAGTATATCTCAACTTATAATATCAACCTTTTTATATGTCACTTCCAAAACATGCTGATAAACTGCTATCACCTGCTGTATGTTTAAGCTACCTTTGAAAACAACATAACCTGCTCTTCTATATCCCTGACTGATCTGGACTGCGGTAAGACTCAGTTAAGGGAGCACCTTCAGGCCACCTCAAATTTTACACAAAGCTGGTAAACTCAGTGACAGTCTTGGTCTACGCAATCCCAGAAATTTCAAAACACTAGTTAACCCTAAACACAGTAAGTTAAGCAAGTTAAATGAATTCCAAAACTAACAGGAAAGTCATATTTTAAATTGGCCTTGTCTTTTGAGTGCTCTACAATTCAAGGTAAAGAAAACTAAAATCCTCAAAGCCAAAGCAAGAGGTAACAATTGGAAAAGATTGAAGTTGTCAAGGATTTTTATCTTGCTTGGCTCCATAATCAATGCTCATGAAAGTGGCTGTGAGGAGATCAAAAGACACATTGCATGGGGTAAATCTGCTGCACCAAACTTCTTTAAAGTGTTGAAAAACAAGGAGGTTACTTTGAGGACTAAGGTGTTCCTGACCCAAGCCATGGCATTTTCAATCGCCTCCTATATATATAAATGGAGGGAGGACCAAAGGAGAATCCATGCAATTGAAGAATGGTGCTGGTGACAAACATTCAAGAGTCCCATGGATTGCCAAAACAAATCTGTCTGGGAAGAAGTACACTAAGAAAGAATGCTCTTTAGAAGCAAAGATTCCAAGATTTTGTTTCACATACTTTGGACATGGTCTCAGGCAGGAGAGACAGTGCCTGGAGGACATCACATGCTTGGGGGGCAGCGGGGTGGTGGTGAAAAAGAGGAAGGCCCTCAGTGGGATGAATTGATAGTGGCTGCATCAATGGGCCCAACTTTAACAATTGTAAGGATGGTATGAGACCTGGTCTTGTTTCCGTTTTGTTTTGTTGTACGTAGATTGCTGTGAGCGAGAACTGACTGACTTGCCAGCATCTAAGAATAACAATAGCATTGCTATAGCAAATGGTCATAACCAGATTCTGGACCCAGACCACTTGGCTTTCAGTTCAAGCTCTGACAGTAAGTAGCTGTGTGACTTGAGGCAAATTACTCAATCCCTCTTTGTACCGGTTTCCTTACGTGTAAACTATGACACCAAACGGGTAGTAGTATTACTCCTATATTTCAAGGAGCCCTGATGGGGCTGTTGGGTAAGTGTTGTTGGACTATTAACTGCAAGGTTCGCAGTTCACACCCACCACCACTGAATTCTAGTTGCTGCACAAACATACTCAAGTTTGGTCGTAAATCAACCTCACTTTCAGAATCACTGATAAAACCCTGAAAAGTCTGTTGGGGGTCCGCAGCCCACAGGAAGGAGTATGGATGTGTCTATATTTCACTGATCTAAAACTATACACAGGTTTGGAGAAATAAAGCTTCCTCCTCCCACCTCCATCCTATGCAGATTTATCTAGACTCAGGACTCAAAGGTAAAGGCAAAGTTGCTGTGTGACAAGGAAAAGACAAGCTGTGTGTCTTCATTTTAAAATCAAATCTCCATCTGTTGGAGCGAAACGCCTAGTAGCTATGAGACTTTGGGAAGTAATGTAGCCTTTTTGTATCAGGCTATCCATGTACAATGCAAGCGAAATGCTCACATGGCAGAGCTGTGGAGATGACTGAGAGGCCACATGTGCCAAGCACTGCCGCCAGCACCAGGCCCAGCGCAAGCCATCAATATTCGAATAGTATTGCTGGATTGGAGGGGAGAGAGTGTTCACTACACTTACATCAAGAGGAGTTCTACATTAAAAAAAACACACCAAAAAACAAATATATAACTGACTTCTAATTCAGTGTGTAATATTTCAGGAATTATTCCCTGAAAACTTGATTGAGAAGTGGGAATATCAGCCTTTTAGTGTTTTGTAAATATCAAATGAGGGGGAAAGGAGTTTAATGAATTCAAATGATAAAGAGTTCATTCCTCCATCTTCTAAACCTAAGAATCACATTAAATGCTCTGGGTTTACTTGTAAGATTAATTTCTAATGAAATTACTACGATTAAAGCTTAAATATCCAGATGCTCCAATTATCAACTCATGGTTTGGAGCCAGGATTAAACTGTCCAATTAGCATGGATCATTAAAATTTTAACTATAAAATGGATGATAATTTTTGGCCTATGTGTTACAGATTGAATTGTGTCTCCCCACCACCACAAAAAGTATTATAAATCCGAACCACTATGCCTGTGGTTCCAATCCCATTTGAGAATGAGGTTGCCTTTGTTATAGACATAGTCTACAAAATGAAAGTCAGCTAGGAAGCAGAGGCCAGGGAAGAGGGGAGCCAAGCTCCGAGAAGATCACACAGGAGCAGAAGCTCAGAGACAAGGACTCCAGAGGCAAAAGAAAGAAAATTCTCCCCCCACAGCTGGAAGCCTGGCGTCAGACTTCTAGCGTAACCTCAACGCTGGGACATAAAATTTTGCCTACTGAACACGGTCACTTTGGGTCTATCTGTTATAACAGTACTAGATAGCTAAGACACTGTACAAGTACATCTCCCTCTCTGAAAACTTACAGGCTGTGCCTATACGTTGAATTGACACACCCCAGCTGAGTATTACGAAAAAGCCACCAGGAGAACTGACTGTAAGTTAAAAGAGGCTGGCTGGTCCGGGCAGCATGGCCTCAGGAAGAATATTCATGCATTTGCACTGAGAAAGCAGCAATTTATGTCAGAAGAAGCATAAAAATGCTGATTGCATTTGTTTCACTGTATAATAAAACTCCACAGAAATGGGTATGCTCCTTTAAAAAATATTCAGGTTGGTAAATGATTGAAGTTATTTATAAGGAGAGCCCAAAATCAGCGTGGCTCAAGACTATTCTTCCCCCTATTTATCCTCCAGCCATTTCTAATGAATGCCGTCCTATTTTCAATAGAGGTTTCAATATATGACACTCCAATCAACTGCATGTGTTCTCAGTTAATAAATAACAAACAGGAACAAAAATTACATAGTAACACAAATATTCAAACTAGACATGTTTTCATTAAATAAAACAGCTAAAGTAACATTCTCAAGAGGAAAGCCAAATTAGCAGGCTCATTCATGTATTTCCTTCTATTCAGTTGTGAAAACACAAGTAGGGTTTCAAACACTTGATGAAAAAATTCTGTTATTTTTCTATTTCAGTTTTCCAATAACTTTTTTAAGTCACCCCATCAATTGTTCTCCCTCGTTTTTGTTTTGTTTTGGGGGGGTCATTGGTGGCCAAAAATGAAGGACAAGCTATTTATAATAGAATCAATAAGCTATAGAAAAGACATGAACATTCAAGAGTTTGATTTTGTTTTTAAAGAAATGGTAGCCCACATGGAAGCAGCACACCAGCCTGTGCGATCACAAGGTGTCGAAGGGATCAGGTACCAGGCATCATCAGAACAAATAATCTTATCATAGT